TTGGCCTGTGGGATCCAATGGGGTTAGCAATGTTCTCCCTGCGATATAGATGAAATCCCGGAGAGGATTTTGGGATCTTGAACCATCAATATATGCTTGACACTGTTCTACTTCAACCCATCACAGTTCTAAGCTAATAATGGACTGTGTATTGTCAAAGGCTTTCATGGCCAAAATCATTGGGTTGTTGTGTGTTTTCCAGGCTGTATGGCCATGTTCTAGAAGCCTTCTCTCCTGACATTTCACCTGCATCTATGTAGGCATCCTCAGAGGTTATCAACCTGCCATAGATGATGCCTGCCATAGATGAAGGTGAAATGTCAGAAGAGAAGGCTTCTGGGACATGGCCATACAGCCTGGAAAATACACAACAATCTAAAAATGGACTGATTGAAAGTAAACAAAGAAGCTTAATCCAGAGAAGCCCCATGATCAGCCAAAAGACAAATCAGGGGACAGGTACTTAAGACTATGCTAGATCAGCTTACACTCCCCTTGAAGACACAGATTTTCAGTTTGGGTTCTTTTCTGGACTCAACCTTGAGCCAAGATGCTCAGGTGCATGCTTTTCATATTATAGGCTGAAGCAACAAATTACAGCTATCATCCAAGTCAGTTTTTTAGGCTCTATGTACTGAGCTCTCCTGGTTGTTTCTCACTTGACAGCACATACTTTGACACAAACCCACAGCACAAATTGCCTTGAGGCAATTGTGTGAATGGCTTATGGCTGTGATTCCTGGCCAAACAAAAGGATAAACAGTAAGCATCTTGGCACCTTTTCCTAAAAATATTTCACATCTTTTAGAGCCGATGCCAAAATGCAGATACAGTAATTATTGGTACTCAGACTCTGCAAACCCAGAGCAAAATGGTAAAATGGCCCTGAAGTCATGACAAAATAAGCAGGTACTGTATTATAAACATTCTGCTGTACACATAAAACATATATTTTATCCTACAGTTGCAAATCATTGGACTCATAAATATATACATAGAGTGCCTATATGCGTGCTGAGTTAAACTACAGCATTCTACTAAACGCTTGATCTTCTGTGTTTCTTGTCCTCTCTACTTAGAATCACAGGGTTGGAAAAGACCTCCAGTCCAACCCCCTGCTAAGAAGCAGGAAAATTGCATTCTAAACACCCCTGATAGACGGCCATCCAGCTTTTGTTTAAAAGCCTCCAAAGAAGGAGCCTCCATCACACTTTGGGGCAGAGACAGAGAGTTCCACTACTGAACAGCTCCCACAGTAAGGAAGTTCTTCCTCATGTTCAGGTGGAATCTTTGTAGTTTGAAGCCATTGTTTCGTGTCCTAGTCTCCAGGGCAGCAGAAAACATGCTTACTCCCTCCTCCCTATATCTTCCTACCACATATTTATACATGGCCATCATGTCTCCTCTCAGCCTTCTCTTCTGCAGGCTAAACATAACCGGATCTTTAGGCCGCTCCTCATAGGGCTTGTTTTCCAGACCCTTGATCATTTTAGTTGCCATCCTTTGGACGTATTCCAGCTTGTCAACATCTTCCTTCAATTACGGTGCCCAGAATTGGACACAGTATTCAAGGTGTGGTCTGATCAAGGCAGAATATAGGGGTAGCCTGACTTCCCTGGATCTAGACAATATACTCCTATTTATTCAGGCCAAAATCCCATTGGCTTTTTAGCTGCCACATGACATTGTTGGCTCAATTTTTATATGGTATACCTTGCTGAAAGAGAGCATGGTGTAGGGGTCCAAACGAACGGTTAGCCTATTAAAGACAAAGCAAGGTTCAAATCCTTGCTCAGTCATAGAAACCTATACACTCTTCCCTAAAGGAAAGCAACAACGCCTTCTAAGAAACCTTGCCATGAAAATCCCATGATAAGTACATCTTATGGTCGCCATTAGTTGGAAACAACTTGAAGGCACACAACAACAAAGGCTTCTGGATTTCTAAACACAAAAAGCTTGGGCACACTTGGGCTATTTTAGTCAGTTCTCAAGAAAGTTACTGCCAGCCTGTAGGTATTGTAACTTGGGTTGTTCTCATGGAACAATAACAAAACAGCCTTGCTGGGTAATATGGAGAGGCATATTCATTTTCTTCACATGTTGTGAGGTCCATTAGGTACAGTCCATGAAGAAGCCCTGAGGCTGGGAACTCTCACCCGACTTCAAAGTCATTCTCCTTGCAATGAAGGAAACTTGCACTGAATTCATGTTCTGGGAATGTGGTTCAATATTATAATGCTGATCCCGATAGCCTGCAAATGTGTTTTCAGAACTATACATTGGTGGGGTGGTAGATTTTGAAGTGTCAGGACCTATAGAGACACCTCCAAGAAGAATCCAAAGTACAGACAGCTCTGTTGCTCAATAGTTTTAAAAACACAAAATAAAATCTAGTTTTCATTGGCAGTAGCAAGAGCAGGTCTTTAGTACAACTAATAGCTCTTGTCCAGTGAAAACCAATCTGCTCAAAAATACTTTTGTTTTTATTGGGGAGGACTCACAATAATGCAATTCTATTGAGAAGAGTTTTTCTTCCAGATATATCAGGCATTGCAACAAAAATCAGAATACTCAGAGGACTACAAAAGAGATGGGAGATAATACAACTGTTTCTGTTAATCACAAAGCCCTGGGGAAGGATTCAATCTTCTGAGCCCCGGCGCTATGACATCACACACATAATGAGACACCCAATTTCCTCATGAATTGAGGATCAGGATCATGCATCAGGGCCCAGTGGTATAACTTGGGTTGCTGTCACCCAGTGTAGTAACTTATGGTTTCACTCCCAAGTACCTCTTTCTATGACAGAATACCCCAATTTGTGACAAAACCTGTGAATGCAAAAGAAAAAAACCCCAATAGCAATGAAAACAACCATTTGTACTTGTGACACATGCAGTCAAGCAAGGAAGTGAATGTTGGTTTTGGGTACATCTATGCTATAGAATTAATGCAGTTTGGCACCACTTTAATTGCTATGGCTCAATGCTGGAGCATCAGGAAAGTTGGAGTTTCACAAAGCCTTTAACCTCCTCTGTCAAAGTGCTAATAGTGGTGCCTCACTAAACTACAATTCCATAGCTTAGAGCAGGGGTCCACAAACTTTTTAAACAGAGGGCCAGGTCACAATCCCTCAAACTGTTGGAGGGCCAGATTATAATTTGGAAAAAAATGAACTAATTCCTATGCATGCTGCACATATCTTATTTGTAGTGTAAAACACATTTAAAAACAATACAATAATTAAAACGAGGAACAATGTTAACAAATATAAACTTATTATTATTTCAATGGGAAATGTGGGCCTGCTTTTGGCTGATGAGATAGGATTGTTGTCGTTGTTGTGTGCTTTCAAGTTGTTTCAGACTTAGGTTGACCCTGAGCAAGGGCCGGGTAAATGACATTGGAGGGCCACATCCGGCCCCCGGCCTTTAGTTTGAGGACCCCTGGCTTAGAGCCATGACAGTTAAAGGGCTGTCAAAACTGCATTAATTCTACAATGTAGATAGACCCACTGAAGCTTCTTCCACACAACTGAATAAAATCCCACATTTTCTGCTTTGAACTGGAATATATGGCAGCATGGACACAGATAAACCAGTTCAAAGCAGATATTGTGAGATTTTCTGCCTTGATATTCTAGGTTATATGACTGTGTAAAAAGGCCCTAGGACCATTTCTTTGCAAATCTGCTATCCCCAAGCCTTCTTCAGCCCAAAGGTGCATCTAAACTGCAGAATAGATGCAGTTTGACACCACTTTCACTGCCATGGTTCAATGATAGGGGATCCTAGGAGCTGTACGTTTGCAGGGATACAACTTTCTTGACAGAGAAGATAAAAAAACCCCATGTAAAACCACAACTTCAGTGCTTCCAGACAGGCATGTAGCCAAAGGAAGGGGGGGGGGCTGAAGGGGTTTCACCCCCCCCCCCCCAATTCTCATGGTGGTTCGCGAGAAGGCCTTACTGGTACATTATTTAAACTGTTATGTTTATTCATATCATGATCTGATCACCATGCTCAATATATCCCATATGCATGGGGGTATTGGGGTAACGATACAAAAGGTTTGCTAGGATAGACCCTCTTTCACTCAGACTCAGCCCCTCCCCAATCAAACTCAGCCCCTCCCGAATCAAAATCCTGGCTAGGGGCCTGCTTCCACAGCATTGAGCCAAGGCAGTTCAAGGGCTGTTGAACTGCATTCATCCCACAGTGTAGATGCAGCTTTGAAAAAAGAAAGAAGAAGAGAAAAGGAAGTGGAGGAGAAAGAAGAGGAAGAGGAGGAGGAAAGGAAGAAGAGGAGGAGGGAAGGAGAAGAAGAGGAGGAGGAGGAGAAAAGGAGAAGGGAGAGGGAAGGAGGAGAAGGAGGAGAAGGAGGAGGAAAAAGGAAAAAGAAAGAGAGAAGAGAGAAGAGAAGAGAAAGAGAAGGAAAGGAAGAAGAGGAGAAGAAGAGGAGAAGGAAAGGGAAGAAGAAGAAAATGAGAAGAAGAAAAGAGGAGGAAAGAAGGAAGAAGGAGGAAGAGGAGAAGGGAAGGAAGGAGAAGTAAAGGAAGGAGAAGAGAAGGAGGAAGGAATGGAAGAAGAGAAAGAAAAGAAGAAGATGAGAGAAGAGGAGGAGAAGGGAAGAGGAAGAGAAGAAAAGGAAGAAGAGAAGGAGGAAGGAGAAGGAAAAGAAGAGGATGAGAGAAGGAAAAGAGGATGAGAGAAGGAGAAGAGAAGGAGAAGGAAAGGAAGAAGAGGAGAAGAAGAGAAGAAGAGGAGGAGGAGGAAAGAAAGAAGAGTAGAGAGAAACAAACTTGTAAAACCACAAGTCCAATACTTCCAGAGCATTGAGCCAAGGCAGTTCAAGTAGTGCCGAAGTGCATTCATCCCATAGTGTAGACAGAATCCTGCAGTCTTGCAAAAAAGAAGAAGGGGGAGAAGAGGAGGAGGAGGAGGAAGAAGAGGAGGCGGAGGAGAGGAAGAGGAGGGGGTGCCTTTCCCCTTTACCTCGGGGGCGCCAACTTCTTTCCCCTGCCGGCGGCCGCTTTCCGGAGGCGGAGACGTGGCTCCAGCTTGGAAACTTGAGCAGCCGCCCTTTCGGTCGAATGCAGGAAGGGGGCGGCGGGGGGCAGCCTGGCCCCCTTTTTGGGCCCCGAAGAAGGGACCCGGGCTTCCTTCTCGCCCGTTCCCAAAGGCGGCTCGTCCCCGTCGCCGGCCGCGTTGCCCACGAAGAGGTAGAGCAGGAGCAGCCCCGCCAAGCCCAGCGCCAGGGCCACCGCTTTGCAGTAGAGTTTCATGGTGGCCGGCCGAGGAGGAGGAGGAGGAGGGGGAGCGGGGCAGGCAGGCAGGCAGGGAAGAAGAGGGCAGGCTCATCAGAGGGGAAGGCGAGCAGGGAGAGGGGGCGACGCCCGCGCGGTCCTTCTCCTCCTCCGCCTCCTTCCTCCCATCCTCCCGGCCGCGGGATGGCAAATGAAGCCCAGCCTTGGCATGGAAGGAGTTGGAAGGAGAGAAGAGGAGGAGGAGCCTCCCAGGCAAAGGACCCCCACCGCCCCTTGCAAAGCTATAGGAGCCTCCTTGCAAGACCAGGGACCGCCCTCTTTCCCCGCCCTTTCTACACTGTACAGAATGACTCCAGTTTGACACCGCTTCAGGCTGCTAGGACTCAATGCTGTGGAGTCATTGAGTTGTAGTTTTACAAAGTCTTTAGCCCTCTCTGCCCAAGAAATCCACCTCCCATTATCCCATCCCCTTCAGCCATGTAGTCCCCACAAGCATGGCCACAAACTTGGGCCCTCCAGCTGTTCTGGACTTCAACTCCCACAATTGCTAACAGCCAGCGGGAATTATGGGAATTGTGGGAGTTGAAGTCCAAAACACCTGGAGTGCTGAAGTGTGCCCACACCGGATACTGCAGTCATTTCTGTACTGTGGAGCAGAGCTTTCCAAACATAACATGTTGGTGACACACTTTTGGTAGACACATCATTTCACAACACAGTACAGGCAATTCTCCAAGTTACAAACAAGTTTTGTTCTCAAGTGGAATTTGTTTGTAAGTCAGAACAGGTCCCATTTTTAAGTGTAACTTCAGCCATCTATATGAATAGAAATGTAATATTTGTTTGTAGGATTAACACAACTCAAAAACCACTGGACAAATTGGCACCAAATTTGGAAACAATACACCTATCAGGCCAACAAGTGACCATCCCTCATAAAAACACTGAAAAACACAGCAGAAGAGACTTAAAAAGCCAAAAAAACAAAAATTACAACTCTGCCGTCACACCCAGACCCTATAAAAATAAAACTAAGATGTGCTTCTCTCTTTGTCTGGGCGGACCACGGGGGTCTTTCTTTAGAAGCTTGAGATTCTCAGCAACTGAGGCTACTACAGGTTTTGAACAACAAAACAGAATATTTATTAGGTTCTTGTGGGGTTTTTTTCGGGCTATGTGGCCATGTTCTAGAGGCATTTCTCCTGACGTTTTGCCTGCATCTATGGCAAGCATCCTCAGAGGTAGCCTTCTGAGGATGCTTGCCATAGATGCAGGCGAAACGTCAGGAGAAATGCCTCTAGAACATGGCCCTATAGCCCGAAAAAAACCCACTAGAACCTAGTGATTCCAGCCATGAAAGCCTTCGACAATAGTAATGTTTATTGTTTGTGGGATTGACATAACTCAAAAATCACTGGACAAATTGACACCAAATTTGGACACAATACACCTATTAGGCCAACAAGTGACCATCACTCAAAAAAACACAGCAGAAGGCACTTAGCCAAAAAAGCAAAAAGATGCTACAGCACATGCGCAAAAACAACCCCCCCCCAGCAAAAACACACACACAATAGCATATCCACACTCCAGACTACAGCTCCCAGCATCCTCTAGACCAGACCCTTTAAGAGAAGAGGATGATCCAAATGCACTGCTTCCAAACTGCAAGCTTTCTTCTCTTTGGAATTCTTTGAGAGCATCCCAATCCCTGCATATTTCCAATTTTCTATTCCTGGACTGCAACTCCCAGCAATCTTCCAGATAGAGAGAGTAGATAGAGACAGATAGATAGATTGGTAGGTAGATCGATCAGGAAGACTGCTGGGAGTTGCAGTCCTAGAATGGGTGAAGAAGGGAGAAATAGGAAAGGAAAGAAAGGGGAAGGGAAGAAGGAAGAAAGGAAGAGGAGAGAAGGGAAGGAAGAGGAAGAAAGGAAGGAGAGAAGGAAAGAAAAAAGGGAGAAAAGGAAGGAGAGAAAGAAAGGAAAGAAAGAGGGAGGGAAGGTTGGCCACAGCAACGCATGGCGGGTACAGCTAGTAGAGAGAGAGAGAGAGAGAGAGAGAGAGAGATGTTAGTAAGTCAGAACAGGTACTGCGTACCGTTAAATGTAACTGCAGCCATATATACACAAGTTTTTAAGTGTAACTCCAGCCACACACACACACACAGTTTTGGACCTCAGCTGTTTTGGACCTCAACTCCCAGAAACCCTGGCCAGCTTGACCAACAGTCAAGAATTCGGGACACGGAGTCCAAAATATCTGGAAGACCAAAATTTAGAAATATGGCTCAGTGTCAACTATCAAACTTTCCAAAATGTCCAGAAAAACAAAATGATTATAAAGTGTTAGGATCTGTGAAAAAAACATCTGTTAGTAAGTTATCTTGATTTGGTGGTTTTTGTAAAATAAAGAGTTGACGCTGAGAGAAAACTTAGCTTATAGTCATACTTTATAAAGACAAGACTTCTATACACATTAAAATATTAACTACAATTTGTCTCATCCTGTCTCATATCTGTAGTTCATTGTTTAATATTATGCCTTTGACTTAATGGGGAGAAAGGCAATACTAGTTAACACATTGTTAACATTTGCAAAATAACATTTCTGCCACCCTTGTTTGTTTAATTCAAGATGCTCCTGAAATCTGATTCTTGAAAACATCTGGAAGATTTGGACGCTGTGCAAGAGAAAGGCATTTTGGCATTTACCAGAATCATAACTTGGGCTCATACATATTTGGATCAAAGCGCTATGTCCCGTCCAGTTTCGCGCTTGGCCTAGTGGCTAAATGAGATTCAGAGAATCAGCCTGTTTGAACTCAGTCCAGTGACTCATTGCATCACTCAGAACTGAATGTATGATTTTCTGGTTCCCAAAGGCCTTGGGTGCTTAGTTAAAGCGGCTTCGTTTATCCTTCCTGGAAGAAATATGAGAAGACGATGACATGAACAGTGAGTTGCAATGAACCATGAAAAAAAATTCCCTCTACTTTGGATGCATTTAGCTTCAACTTTCCAGAAAAGAGAGTAGAAAGCAGATTTCTTCCACTCTGTTCCCTTTATGTAATAGATCTATCATTTAGAAGTGTTTCAACTGTATATGCATACTGGGAAGGACTGAGCCCCTGGGGAGCCGGTTTTAAATATGGAGAGGAATAAAATTTTAAGTGGCTGGCAAGAACTGGAGAAGTAATAGCTAGGTGTTCGCTTGGGAAAGTTATACTTCTCAGTTACCAGAAATGGTTACCAAACACAGGACTGATAAAGCAAGATACTTCCCCTCTCTCCCTTTTGACTACTAATTGGATCTACACTACACTGCAGAATTAATATACTTTGAAACCACTTTAATTACCATGGCTCAATACTATGAAATCCAGATAGCTGTAGTTTGGTGAGGCACCAGGAATTTTTGGTAGAGAAAGCATGAAATTCCCAGGATTCCATATTACTGAGCCGTGACAGCTCAAGTGGGATCAAATTGAATTCATTTTGCAGTGTAGATGAACCCATGGGGAAGGCAGATTAGCAATCTGATGGTGGGAAAGTATCTTGCTTTACCACTCCTGTTTTGGTAGTTTAGAAATAGAACTTTTCCATGCTCTCACCTACCCATTACTTCTCCTCCAGTTCTTAGCCATTTCAATTATATCATTCACATTTAAAACAGGTTTATGGCCTCAAGCACTGTTCTAACTGGTAGCCCTGTCTTTACTCAAGAGAATAAAAAACATATGTTTCTCCAGATCTTGAGGGGCCCTTCAGTCCAACTTTATCTGAGGACCCATGCCTTCTAAGTCTGATCTAATGCGTGCCACTTGAAGCATCCCAGCTTCTCGGATGGGTAACTGTAGTCTTAACAGATTTTTTTGGTCGACAGCTTCTGCGAATTATTACCATTGCCTATGCTGGCTAGCACTTCAGGGTGCTAAAATCCAACAATATATGGTGGCTACCATTGTTGATCCTTGTGCTATATTATCTCACCTCTTTCAGTGTTGGCACTTCTACATAAGAATCATACCCATCTGGAGTTCAAAGATAACTAGTTCATCATATGTGGTAGGTTCACCCTGCTCCGTGGAAACAACTGTTTAAGTGGAAGCTACCATAACTGCAGAGCTTCTCTTCCCATTCTTTCCCAGTTCTGTAGAATCATATGACCCTCCAGATTTTGTTTGACTGCAATTCAAAGCAGTCCTTGTCAGCAGGGCCAATGGTGAGGAATACTGGGAGTTGCAACATTTGTAGGTTGCATGATTCCCATCTCTAGTATGCCATTGTTCACTTTTCTAATGACTATCCACAGTGGTTTGACACTACTTTAACTGCCATAGCACCATTCTATGGAATATTGGGATTTGTTGTTCTATTATAGCAGTGATTCCCACTGGTGGTTCCATGGACCACCAGTGGTCCGCAAGAACAAAAATATGGTCTGCAATCTCACTCTTGCAACAAGAGTGACTGGTCTCACAGAACCCTCTTATAGTATCGAGACAATGGGGATGTTGGGAGGGGAGAGGCTGACTATCCACGAAATAGTACTACTACCACATCAGCTCTAGATTATTAAACATGGTTTTCTGTGGGCGGGCAGATGGTGACTACTGGACGGCATATGTTCTGTATCAGAAATTAGAGCTCATGTGGTCTATCTATTACAGTTTTTTTTTTGAATCAGCACCCCAAATAATCAAACCGAATCTAAAGTTGGCCAAAAACTGTCTGTAACCGTTTTGGTACTAATGTTGGAGAGTGATCCCTGGTCAAAATGGTCCCTGGTCAAGTTCTACCTGGTAAAAAAAAAAGGTTTGGAACCACTATATTATAACAACAGAATTTTTGACAGTTAAGGGCAAATATCTCACAAAACTAAAAATCTCATCGTTTTGAGCCATAGCAGTTAATGGGGGACCACACTACTATAATTCTGCACTGTGCATACAGCCCTATTCATTTCTTGTTACTCACAAATTGTATCCTGCTCAATGGTACAGGGATAAAGGGGCAGTAGACAATAGGAATGAAAGAATGAACAGTCTGTTGTCTCTTTCTTATGTTTTAAAGCAATGACATGTAATTATGGACCTCCAGATGTCAATCAACTGCAACTCCCACCAGCTTTAGGTTGAACAGTGGGTGTTGAAAGGTGATGGAAGTTGCAGTACAGTCGAATCCAAGGAGGCTGCTTTGAAGAAATAGAGCAAATCAAGCCATGATTC